ATTGGTCGCGAAAGCCTGCGTGTTATGGTTAGGATTAGAGATACCCATGGGTTGTAGCATCCTTTCAGAGCAGCGCTATTTCTCACCACGCATATAGAGCGTACGCCCAATGGTTAAAATAGAGATGCTTGAACTGTCGAGAACCCGACACATATTGTTGCACATTAATTTACGCGCGAAGTATTTCCTTCCCATTGTCTGCTTGCCCCCCTAGCGTCAGGCGTCTCGCCTACACGAGAGTTCTCTATTCTCAGTCTGTTCTTGCGTGTGATGCCACTGCGTGCAATGAACTGAATAGCAATGCCCGAGGTCTGCTGGCCACGAGAGGTCTAGTTTTGCTAATCCTCCATTGAAGGAACGCAGACCACAGCGGTCTACTATATCATCCGTAGCTTGGGTTGCATGGCCACAATCGCACCGCTGTGGCTTGTGTCTTGAATTTCCAATTCATTAAGGAGATGGGCGCGCATCGATCTGTTGATGCTCCGATGCTGTTTATGGTTACACCACCCGGTGTCTTCGATGAATATAAAATCCAGGAGGTGCGATGTTTGGGTCTCGACCGAGGTGTTGGTTCTATTCACTCGACACAAGGCAGCTTCGTTCTTGAATGTGTTGCGCTGTACCCTGCAGTGTTCTGTGCGCTGCCTGTTAGTCACAAGGCCTTGTGACAGTGAATAATTCCACTTGAAAGTGGTTCAATACAAGCAGAGTCTCGACCCGTTCCGACCCACAGCGTCTCATCAACTCAGGCTTGCTTGAACCAATAGCCAATGAACTGCCGGATTTTATAAGCAAGGATCCTCTTCTCTCTCTCTCTTAGAGATATGGGTCCCAGTTCGACACAAAATCCTACATTCAACAAAGTAATTGTTGACGTCGTTGTGGAGAACATTCTTGATACAGACCCAGAGTCTGCTTGTATTGAATCAATGCTGCTGAATGTGTCCACTTCCAGGGCACCGTGATTCGACAGGAAGTGTAACTTTTTAAAACATATACTTGTAGCCGTGACGTGCTCATTCATGTAGACTGTAGGCAGGGTTTCATTTCCCTCGGAATATTCTACGGGACCAACCACCCGAAACCCTCCACAATCCGCTTACCAAATTTGTCCCAAAGCCACCGCCGAGTCTCAGCATTTGTTTGCAGGAAAGTCCTGCGTCACACTGCCCGAACAGTTGCGGTTAATCACGTGATTATTTTATTTCTGAATTTCCGCAAGCTCCACTCAGCCTCGAATGAGTCACCTGGTGCGATGTGTAGACCTCGCCACTGAGGAGACAAAGGCGGCCGTGCGTGGTGCTGGCCACCCACCCCCATCGTCGTGCCATGCCGACCTTCATAGGCGTTCGTTAAACATCACTTGCCCCAAAAGGCTGTTAAAGTTACAGTACCCAGGGGGGACCTTTTGTCTTTGTCGTCTGCAAGACAGACCTCCAACACGACACGTGATAACCATAGTGCACTGTTAAAGTATTCCGTACACCCTTGCACGCAGCAGTTTCCGCAATGCACAGGCTGCACGTACATCGTCGCGTTCTATCCACCGCTGAATGAATGTGCCTGCCCACCGCTGTCGCAAAAGCCTCACGGAGCCTGCAGTGCCCGTCCATGCGCCATCACCACCGCGGCCGCCACCAGCTGATCCGATCGTTTCCCTCTTGTCCATCGGCCACCGCACACTTGGGAGTCGCGCGTGTCCTCCTTGAGCCCGCTTAGCCTTGCGGACTCAAGACGCAGTTGCTTCGCTCACACGAACCGGTGAAATGTAACGTGCGATCGTATTGCTGTTTGCCGAGTAAATTGGTCCAACACAAAAAAAAGAAACGGCTCTATTGTATTCCATTAACCGATGAACGCTTTCAGATGCTCTACACTATTCAGGTAAATCATTGTTGAAGGGACTCAACTGTTAAACGTATGTATGTTGAACTTCTTTCTCACCGTACGGAGCCAACCGTGCTAATCGTAGGTGCCAAGATGCAAGAACGTGCATACCGAGTGCAATTATTGAAGCCGTATCTGGATCAAAGTGAACAAATACAGTAACGAGGAGAACGGGAGCCAGGATGGTTCGAACGGTTTGGGAAAACCGAATTTGAGGATAAACTTCACGTTGCAAAAATAATACGTGACTTTACCAAAAGAACCAAAGAGTATGGATTCCTGCAGTCACGAAAGGTTCAAATCAAGATTTTCACGTAGCACTCGTGCCTGAAGGGGAACGTTTTCAATCGGCGCCTATTCTCCACTATGATGTGTGGATTAAAAAAAAAACACGTGGACATTGGCAAAGGTGTAAGCAAAGCCGAAGAGTGTGCAAATTAGCATAGAGAGGAGCGAAATTTCAATGAACACTGCGAGACAGAAAACGAAAAACGCGGATATATTGTTTTCCAAAAGTTTGGCTGCCTGGGGGCCTGGCTGGCAGGCTACGCATCGCGCGGCACACAATCTGATTGGCTGGAGGGCCATGCGCTGCTCAGCGCGCAGAGAGAAGGGGGCACGCGGGTGGGGGCGCGTAGTGGAGGCTGGGGGGAGGGGCGACTTGGGGGGGGGGGGTTGCGGGTGGGGGGGGGGTCTGGGTGTTGTTACGCGTGAGAGGGGGGCACCCGGGGGTGGGGAGCTGGGGACGTTGGTAGTGAGGCAGCGAGGTCGTCCCACCACGCGTGCTTTTCGTGCTTCATACGAGTAAAACAAAAGATTGGCTGGCTGGAGGGAGGGAGGGGAGGAACGGCAGTGCCTGGATTATCCTAGTAGCACAATTAGCGACACATGATACAGGTCCCGCACTTTCAAGGGCCCCGCGCTAAACGCTTTCAAGCTATGAATTCCGGTTCAGTGACTCTGCACTTGCTCGATTACTATAGTACTATACCGCCTTCAACTTTTATGAACGACTGGGTGTTTAAGGTTAGCGTTTGGTCGTAAATGAAAACACACAATTACTTTACTATGCAAGCCAAAAATTTAGTGTTTTAATATTTACGTCTTTTTTTAATGTATGGCCCCTTTATAACAAACATATGCTACAGGCCCGTAACGAGCTTAATCCGGCACTGATCAACGGCAGGGTCCAAGGGACGTGCGGACTGCACGTATTTCCTCTACCGCAGGAAGGTGAGTTGGCTTTGAGCAGGACGCATTTGTTCGATGTGACGATGGCGAGTGGTCAAGGAAAATAAATGAAGGAGTGGCAGCCAAGCGAGAGAAGGGAGCGACGGGGTCGGCTCGTGGGCAGCGTCGAGATGGCTCGCAGCATCGCAAGACCGTGTGGACAGGCCTTGATCCAGCGGTGGATTGGTCATGGCGTGTTACAAGCATATTGGGCACGGCGATGAAATGTATGACTTAATTAGACGTGTCGCATCAGCCTGCTGTGTAGCAGCATGCAGCAACTATACAATTAAAATTTTACGCTCATGTGAGTTACGTTTTGTTGAGTCCGGTTTACCGGCGACTGTGAAGCGTCTTTCAATGCGATTGCATCTCTCAAGACTATGTCAGTATTCGCTGTAATTCCGTACATATTACATACACCTATACCAATTGTTAGTAACACCGAGACAGAGAGACAACGAGAGACAGACGTACAGAAATGCATATGTGCACGGAGAAAGACATCGCGAGAGACGCAGCAAAACACGGAAAGGCACAAAGACATGGATTAACAGACAGAGAGACTGAAACACACCGCACACACACACACGGACAACATTCACATAAACACTGGTACCGTCTCCACCATCATCACCACCACCACCACTCTCCCCTCAATCTCTCACCTCTCACAGCCGCCTCCGCACCCCCCCCCCCCCCCCCCCCCGAGTATTACCCCCCGCGGAGCTCGTTAGCGGGAGACAATTCCGCTCGGTGTTAATTACTGGCGAGTAGCAGAGGGGGGTTGGTGTGACGTCCCCCCCCCCACCCCCCACCCCCCCAGTGTTCCCAATTAGCGACGTCTCCCCCACGCCGCTGATGCACGCGCGCGCGGCCGCTCGGTCACGCGCACAGGCGCGGTTCATCCCCAGCTGTGTAGCAAGCAAGCCGCTGAGACCCATGCACTAAGGGAGCCTGCCTCCGTTTTGTTTGGTGGTGCCTTGAAGTGTACAAGCACACGAATTATTCGGTGATAGGCCTCCATGCGCAAATAACAAACAAAAAACACAAACTCAGCAGAAAACGCTGCCTTAAAAAAGACAAATGTATGATCGGCGACGTTTCGGTCATGGCCCTTCGTCATATCAAATATATAAAGAGGTCAGATAGTGTGTCTATGATAGTTGGAGACCGCAGAATACACCATAGAGTCTGATACGAATTCACGTTGAGTTTGTTGTGTGTGCAAATAACCGTGCATATGGAGGAGGGCAGAGCGCTGCCATCGCCGAGACACCTGGGTTCGAATCCAGCCCTGTGAATTTAAACCGGATTCTCAAGCGTAACGAGTTGATGGTCTCAGCCCGGTCACCAATAACTGCACAATAATACGTTGCATTAAATGTGTCTCTGCAGTTAATTTGGCAAAAAAAAAATGTTACTGCTCGGATTATTAAATAACGGATTTGACAGGAATCGCAACGAGAAATGCTCTCATATGGCAGAGCGGGTTGGGAAACTGCTGCTCCCTGTTTGAAGGCATCTCAGCGATAGCTCTGTGGCATCCATGTCTGCGAGCCATGCCTTGACACAATAGGATGCACTGTTCTGAGAGAGATCCCAATGGGTTATTCAACTGATAATGTAGAACTTGGAAGGTGCACAGTGTTCTTTCACGCTTAGAGAAATAGAGAGAATGATTCAGAGGCATGAAACACCACAGACAACGCGGGAAAGCAGCCAAGAGCCGGCGCCAACAATTTCCCAAGCTCTGTGGCCCTATATGTGGACGTTTGGCCATCTCCAAACTCACGACGTGATGACGACAATGGCACAATCGGGATACATTTGGTTAAGGATGAAACAGAAAATAGAGAGAGCGCTGTCAAACGTACCGCTGTGATTTCGTCTTAATTTATTATACATACGCTAAGCAATGAAACGCGCCTACAATAGTGCATTTCGATTGTCTGTCGCTTCATCAGTGTACACCTGAATGGACCGCTATCGGTCGGCGCATACTCTGTTGTATAGTTCACGCACGCAGCCCATTCATATTGCATTACACAGGCAGGCCAACAGTGGGAAATTTACAATAATTATATTAAATTAATAATAATTTACTGTTCTTTTGTCTATCCACTGCCGGGTGAAGGCATTCCTATGCTGCATTGTTCATTGACCATACTTCACCACCCTCGTCAAGTGGAGGGTGAGTAAGGTGGTGGTAAGGTCGGGTGGGACAGAACAGGGTAAGGTTCCTATATAATTGGCCACTGATGTTATCCATTGCCGGGAATTAAACTCAGGTGGATGGGGTCATGGCGCAGTCTTCTAACCACTGCACCACTGCTTCATCCACGTTCAGACTGAGTCTCAGAACGTATTGCAGCTGGTGAGGCCCACTGAGCCTAGTGCAGCTCTGTTGCAAAGACGACCACAGCCCAAGGCCGTCGCCAGTGGCGGCAGTTAAAGGACATTGCAGGGTGGTGATGTGCATACTGACAAGAGCAAAAACAAGCTATTTACACGAAATAGTTTAAACATTGTTCTTAAGGCTGTGTAATGCACCAAGTCGGAGTGTAACTGTTCCAGTCCGAATGGCAGCCAAAGGAGTGCAGAACGCGCCCGAGAGTGCAACCCGTGTAGAGATGTAGCTACGGGATCACTTGATAGACCACGGCTGAGATTGATGACGGACTGGATGAGGGTTACGGCGTTCCTCTGAGGCTAAATGAATCAGCCTCGCCCCCCTTCCACTGCGCTCGGTGCTCTCAAATAATTAACAGAACAACGATCGGCGGTGCATTCCTACAGACTGTGTACAGAATAAGGTCTATTGATGCAATATCGAATTGAACATCTCTGAATATGGATTCAATTATCACCGGTTCAAACGTGCAAGCCTAATCTCCCCTCTTCCACCGGGCACCGCCTTCGTGCGCTCTGCGCTACAGCAGCCGAAGCTTTCTGATCAAAGCAGCGAGTTGACCTTCTCCTTGCGCAGAGGTCAACCCTCGATTCGTCCTTTGCTTCGCCTTCTCTTCTTGCTGCCTCCAAGATCTGGAACTTACTTCCCTCAACCGTCTGTCCACGTCCAAGCTAAATGCACGTCCTCCTCCTCCTCTCTGCCTATGACCATCTCTCTCTTAAAATATAGGACATACAACACGCCTCATTGTTACCGGTTAGGTGCACGCGTCTGTTTTTGTACAGCGTCGTGAGATTCGGTTGCATGTAGATGCTCTCTAAATTCAAAATCGTGTTAACTTATTCTGTACAAGCTGCACCATTGCCGTCATGGAAAATCATCACACACACACACCACTCGCGCTATGCGCCACCGCAGAGGTAATTGTGTAGGCAATGTCACAACAGTTGCACACCTACCGACCTACCCACCTGCAAAGAGTGCAATATAGCTAGAGCTGATATGATTAGTCGATTAAGTTAATTGACTAAACTTAAAACTTTGTGTGCATGTATGTTGTTGAACTTCTTTCACACTGTACGTCGTCAACCGTGCTAATCAGAGGTGTGGGGGAAGGACAACAAACTAAGCACAAAAAACAGTTCTAAAGAAATGTGTTTTAAATCTAGATTTTAAAGTGCATAGCTCCAGTGGCCTCCTAATATCGGAAGGAAGAGGATTCCAGGCGGCTGCAGAAACACATCTGAAAGCGCGCGATGAAGTGGCCGTCTTTGTTCGATGGCTAGCCAAAGGCCACTGCGAGGATGACCGCAGTTTGTGTGAAGGTTCATTAACCAGAGGAACATGTGGTCAGTTACTCGGGTGGATTAAAAAACAGCGACCATTTCAGCATCACGCTTCCCGAAGGCAGGAAACCCCCTACAAGCCACGCCCAGCATAATACAATTGATGATGCCGCGCCCATAACCTCCCATCCAGTGGCACATATGTTCACAAATGTCAGAGTTAAAAAAATAAACGAATTGTTATCCAATTAGTCGAGTAATGAAACCGATATATTTGGTTGAGTGATCGACGATTTGAGAAATAGGATGATATCCCAGCTATAATTACAACTGAGGCTATTTAAGAGATGGTGAAAGCAAAATTCATCACCCTAATTAATGACACAAATTTATACATTCTGATGTATATAAAAGATTGTATATACTTAAAACCATGTGATATTATTTATTTCGTTATTGAGCTGCGTGAATTGTAAAACATGCACTCCATTGAATTTTAAATATCCGTTTATAAATTGTATCCTTTTAGCAACTTGATGAAAATCTATTTGCGATTTATCATCTTCATGAGATCAAAGATCAATCGGCCCACTCTGAAACACAAGCGAAATGAATATCTGAATATGAATGGCATGACCAAATAAAACATATATCCTGGATCGTTTTGGTTAACGCTACAACAACAATGCTCATTTCTATACAAGGTCTGGCTCGCGTGATTACTCTGTGTGGTTCATAAGGTGCTGCTTTGATGATGGAAATTAAACCCCCGACCCACCACCCTCCCCAACAACTCGCTCCAATCATTCTGCCGTCATGATTTGGGACTGTGATTCCATTTATAAGTAAACTCACATTTCATCTTTCTTTAAAACGTACGAACCAATGAGGGTTGAAAGCATTAAGCATTAGATCTGTCTGCATGTCTGCCCTGTTGTAAAGATGATCCAATATGAACATAATTGTAGTACAACAGCTATGTTGCTATTGGGGACCTCACAATGATTAAACGGTTTGCACAAAACTTGTCACGAGATCAAAGATCAATCGGCCCACTCATGGTCCAGAGCAGAACTCGGTACCACCTAAGGTAGCAAAGCTTTAGTCGTACCCATTTATTTTGATGTAAAATGAAAGTAAATTACTTGATAGTCTCACTCGTTCCAAGTGTTTATCATTGGCCACGTCGAGAAATTGAAACTGATAAAGGTAGGCCACCTCACTCACGCTGTACCGACAAAGGAGACATCTCATGGACTATGAAGAAATAAGAATAGGTTGTATCCTTTCTGGCAATAAAACAGGTCTTAAGATTCATCGAAGAAGGTTTCTGTTTGGTGTTTGAACATCTTGACACCCGTTTTATTGACAAAAAAATTGAAAATCTATTCTTAATTTTCCATACTTTGATACCGGCAAAACAGTCTCATTTTGAAGCGTCTCATGGACTATTGGATGGGGGAGAAAAAAACCCAGCGCTAAAAGTCAGCGGCGACCTCTCCTGTCGTGCCCAGTGTTGTCATCACGGGCGACGTTCGCCTCGCGAAGTCAAACGCCGCCTCGTGAGCGCCGCTCGAAACGCAAAATCATCGCTCGGTGAACATTTCCGAGGACAAACAAACGCATGCCGAAAAACCGTGTGAGTTTGTGTTTCTTGTTTCCTCTGCGCAATGAGGGGGAGGGCTTCATCCAGCAGTGGATTGACAAAAGCGCTGCATGCGTACTGCACAGGCTACGCTAACGTCACATTTAGGCCCAATGGTATCGAACAAAACTCTACGGACGTGACAGAAAACGATCGCGGAACAATACAAACGAGACGGTAAAAAATGAATCAAGGGTATCGATACTTGATTCAAATCGCGGCCCTGAATCTCAATAATTCAGCTGGTCACCCAGTTTGGGAGGTGGCCACAGATGCATCGTGCATTCACGTGTGCATTCCCTCCTCCGGTGAAGACTCTTATCGCAGACTGTTCCATAAATCACCCCCCCCCCCCAACTGGACCCCCACACTTTTCCCTTTGCTCAGGCTGACAGCAAGAGAGGCATTCACCATCACATTTCCTTAGCCCGAGCCTCCCTCTCGTCTTCTTATCCTCCTCCCCTCCTCAAACTCATCTCTACTCCTACTCTTATACTCCTCCTCATCTCATCATTACTCTTTCCTCCTCTTATTTCCCTCATCATCTTCTCACTTCCACTCCTTTTCTCATCTCCACTGATCTCTTCCGCCCCTCTCCTCCCTCCCATCTTCATCTCCTCACCTCCACTCTCCTCCTCTCTTCACCTCAAGGCCTCCGCTCCTCCTGCTCTCCTCGCCTCCTGTCCCTCTCCCCTCCCCTGCCCCTCCTCCTCGCGTCCCCCGGGGGTGGCTACAGGATGGTGCACTTGCTCCTCTCCACCCAGGGGTTGTTCTTGGTGAGCTCGGGGTTGAGGAAGGGGTCCGTGCGCCGCCCGTCCTCGATCCACTTGACAAGCCTGCGGACAGGGCACACACGTCGCCGCTGTAATTTTATCGCCGTAAAAAAAAAGCAGTCTCTGCTAGCCTGATTCGCAAACCCAGTAATAATATTAGCCCTCTTCCACTGCCACATCTGAGCTGAACCAACGTCAGTCAGTGCCTCACGGTATGGATGCTTTCTTTCTTCGCCGGTTATTTGCCATGCCCAGGCAAAACCGAACAGTGATACACTGTCTTCTTTGGTTCTTTCGGTAAAGTCACGTAGAATGAGAATAAAATAATAAATTGATAAAATAAAATAACACAATAATATTCTCACGACGTTTCGGCCACAACACAAGCGGCCTTCATCAGGTGAAGGGGGGCGAGACTGTCTGGTAGGACAGCGCTGGAGTGAGAGAGCCACGTTCAGATCACGGCTTTTAAGCCTCAAATTTCCGTACCACGTGATACACTGGTCTCATAAGACATCTGAATCTGGTATAAATGCATTGCGTTCCTTGCTCGTGACATCAGTCACCTATCGCACGCCACATCTCTACTCGTTACTTGCACGTGACGAGAACGGCACGGCTCGGCTTCTGCAGTGGAAAAACAACCTGGCGCCTCCTGAACCATGCCGGGCTGGTTTGGCACGGTCCATGCGCAGCTCTCAGTGGAACGGTGGAAGAGAGGAATAAGTGGGCCTGTCTCCAGGCCGTCTATAGTTTGGTGTCTTTCTCGCACAACTCCGATTAGCACAGTTGACTACGTACGTTGCGAAAGAAGTTCACCATACATACGTACAGTTTTATTCGCCCCAAGCCAGCATCATCTGAGCTATGGAGCTTTCTTTGCAAAATGAGGATCCTGCATTGGGATTCCTTGGCCAATTACACTTAAGAGGTCTTTTTGCCCTCAAGTATTGTGCATCTTTTATTTAATGCAATAATTTTTATCGTGTATTGCGCGTGATTTTCGTGTACCGTAGACCGTTCAATTGCTCGTTCCTTCCATTGAAGTCGACCAGGCAGAGGGGAGGGAACGATGCACATACGATCGGGAGCGCGCGTGTGCTCACTCACTCGGGGATCGTCTGGGAGGCCAACTCGCGCTTGACGGTCAGTTGGTACTTGAGGCTGTCCACCTCGCGCCGGAACTGCTCCTCGTCCCACTCTTCCATTGCGAACTGAAAAACAAAGACAACCCGTGTAGCCTCTTATAGACTGCTGCGGCAAGCGCTTTTAGCGAGCACCTGTGAAGGAAGGCCAACGCGGCACAGAGAGGGAGTGGGTGGCCAGCAACCACGCCCAGCCACCTTTGTTGCGAACCAAAGACACGAACACAGACAAAGATCCCCCCGTGTAGCCTTAACAGACTGTTGGGGCAAGTGCTGTTCGCGAACACCTATTTAGTCCGGCACAGTGTGGAAAGGTGAGCACGAGGGGGTGGAGTAGGCAGTACCACGCGCGGCCCCCTTTGTCTCCCCAGAGCTGATGTTTACACAACGCCACTAGGTTACAAGATGAAATAGAAGTGCCCAAAACAAAGCTCTCATACCACTGGTTACTGACGATAGCCATGGCTGGGAACAAAAGTGAGATGGCTAGCACCTGTATCACTACATACACACAGATTGGGGAAAGTGTTGTTAGCAAGCATCTATGAAGGTTATCACAGCACGCGAGATGGGTGGTGTAGAGAGCACCATGCCCAACAGCTTTTGTTTCCCGAGTGCTAATGTTTACACGCTGAAATAGGTTACCCATTTGAGGCCGAGTCTACCTAGAAGATGTACTTGACCGGGTCAGATAATCACGTTCAGTCATGACCAGGAATCAAACTCACGTGGTCCAGGTTCGTAGCGCAGTACAATAACCGCCGTAACAACATCAAGCGCCATTTACCATAACGTGGCGGTAACATCACCACAGCCTTTGTGCCAGGCTAGGTACACCATCGCATATACATATACACACACATGCTGAGAAATCCCCCCGTGTTGTCATCACTGTCACTGCAGTCCTGTAGGCTCGCCTGCCACTTGATGTGATGGGCGTCCTGGAAAAAAAAACCCGACTACCCACAAAGCTCATTGCCAAACAGAGTTTGGCAAATGTTCATAATTTATTTTCCTTGGCTTCCACTCCATCGTAAATCTCGACCCTCAGCCATGAGCAATGCTTCCTGCTGAACCCAATTGACGTGTGTTGACAGGCAAGGTGAACAACACCGCATTGCAGAAGCAGGTTATATAGGATAGGTACAGTCTTTTAGGGAAGCGGCTGGCATGTTTGGAAACAGTTGAAACGCATTTCTAAAACGCATTATAGAGCACGACATAGAAAATTACACGGCATTGCGCATTGCATTTCAAATAGGTTGCATCAGAAATTGCACGTAACATTAGGACATTACATGACATGACACAAGAGATTGCAAATAGAATGTTCAAGTTGATTTGGTTGAACCAGGTAACAGCTCAAGACACCGGGATGAGTGACCCCCACGTCACCAACAGTGACAGAAGCAAAAACCAGTGTAAAATAAAGCACGGCAAATGAAGCAGACAGAAATCCACGTTAAACATTACATCACCATTGACATTACAAATACGATTACACATTACATGACACGTTTACAGGTCCTCACCGGGACCACATGGCACAAATAACTGAAATTACCCGGCGAAACGATTTCGTCGAATGTAAAAGTAATTTGCACGCAGTCACCACCGATGTTTCAAACATTCATCGTCAGCCATGGATCAATCACCCGCTGGACGCGCGACTCCCCAAGCCTCCAGCGTCTCTCAAAGTCCTGCGATGTAGCGATCCATACAGCTCCTGTGAAGGAGCTAATTTCATTGCTCCATCTCCACAGCCAGTGGAATCTCCACTCCATCTCCATCGTGAATATTAATTTAACCAACGGGTTATTTGTAATTAACGAATCATTTTGTCCGCTTTCTATTGAAATTGGAGTCGCACTTTACCCAAAAAGTAAGCTTAATAATCGAGTTATCAAAGATGTCATAGTTGGATTCGGAATCCTTCAAAAACTGCAGATGCTCGCTCTTGCGTGCCCGGGTTTTTAAAAGAGAACATTTATATTTTTGCCTCCCGACTTTTTCAGCAGCGTTATAAAACTCGCGATACAAAATTTCAGGGGACCTAAAAAAAAGTAAAACCCCCACACCCCCAATTGGGAGGCTCAAGCTTAAAAATGGGTGCTTTGGCCAACTTTCAACTTTCTATTTATTCAAACGTTAATCAGTCACTGGTGACCGGCAACATGGTGGACAACTCTTGCAGAAGATTGAGACTGAGTGACAGCATTTCTAGTGAATGGCTATAAATTTGAGTTTATTTTTAGCAAACGTAGCTGAGTATATAACTAAAAATATGTGAGAGAGAGAAACAAGACATTTTCTATTTTGGGGGCCCAAAGATGACAGCCTGGAGGTTGACTGATTTCACTCGGAGAGCCGAGCCAGCATAAGCTGGCACATTTAGTCTCTTAAATGTACGATCCGCGCCATCAGTAACCCTAGTCATTCATCCTCCCGTGGTGCACGTGGTGAGTTTCAGCTCCCTTTAACCCAGTCGAGTATTTAATATAGAATATAAATAATGTGCTGTGTAAGCAAAGCTGTCTTGCTTTTTTTCTATAAGGTCGTGAATTTCACAATACACGCATTCAAATTTGTAATAACAAAGACGGTCACTGGATTAGACGTTTTCAGATGCGCTTGTGCGGCCGTCTGGAACGCTCTTCGTTCCAATATGAGGAAGCCACGAGAGCCATGCACTTTTAAATCTAGATTGAAAACTAATTTCTTTAGAACTGTTTTTTTGTGTTTAGTTTGTTGTCTTTTCCCCGCACCTCCGATTAGCACGGTTGGCTACGTACGGCGCGAAAGAAGCTCAACGTACATCCATGCTGGATGAATGCCTCCCCACACCATGTGGTCCGCGGGGGTTATTTGACCATACTTCACCATGCTGGTCAGCGCAGATTGGTGAATGTGTTGTCCACAACCCGTTTCAGATGTCGCTGCTCGCCGCTGACATTATCCTGGTCAGCAAACGAATTTACATCGCCGTGTTCACCACGAACAGTGTGAACGTGGAAGCAGAGTGCAGCAATGTATATTGTATATTGCTGCACGGCTGCCCCACCACGTAACCCTACAGCCGATAACACCTGCTTCACTCATGAGTCGTCGCCCGTCCAAGCACTAACCGGGCTCACCCCGGCTTAGCTTACACGATCCCCTTAAACCTGAGCCTCACCAAAAAAAAAAACATTTACTGTGAGTTTGACTCTTGGGAGGAAAGCGAGAATTTACGGAGAACAACAGCAGCAGCAATATTTAGAGGGGTCAACATTTAAAGCCATGGAAAGGCAGAGTGAACTCTGTTAGAGTTGACACTTACGCACGACAGAGAGGGTGGTGTCGTAAGACTGCGAGATATCGACAATACACACCGTGTAGTTCACAGGTGAATGTTAACGATGCCGATATTCTAAACGCAGAAGTTATCGGCCATGTGTTGCAGGCGTCACAATTCAAATTTGCTTTTGGGAAAATTACTCGCAAAATTCACCCTCCCAACCTCCTTCTGAAGAAAAAAAAACTCATCAGGATGTTTCCGAAAGTGTCTTGAGACTCGCGAAAAAATAACACGGGGCGCCGATACGTGGTGGGGGAGCGCAGTGAACTCACCCGAAGGTCGATCGCAGCTGCCTCTCGTCCGCTCGCCCCCCACTCGACTGTGCTTGAGCCGCAAAGTAAACCTGTGCGGCGGACAGACGCTTCCTCTCCCAATCCTTGGGTCGCCCCCTGCACCCTGCTTCACCCCACTGCACGCCTACTGCAGCCTGTTTCACCCTGCTGCACCCCACCGCACCCAGCTGAACTCCAATGCACACTCCAGCACCCCACTGCGCTCACTTGCGCTTGCTTGACACCGCTGCACGCCACTGCACACAGCTGCAACCTCCTGCACGCTGCTCCACCCTGCTGCGCGATGCTTCACCTTGCTGCACTCAGCTCCACCCTGCTGCACTCAGCTTCACCCTGCTGCACTCAGCTCCACCCTGCTGCACGCTGCTTCACCCTGCTGCACTCAGCTCCACCCTGCTGCACTCAGCTCCACCCTGCTGCACTCAGCTCCACCCTGCTGCACTCAGCTCCACCCTGCTGCACGCTGCTTCACTCCGCTGCACTCAGCTGCACCGCGCTACACGTGCGGTAGCGTCCCCGGCCGGATGATATTATGAGTGCTCAGATCGTCCAGTTCTCGGCCCCTATTTGTAGAATCGCCTTCGACTCTTCTGATTGGTGGACGGAGCGAGGTGGATGGATGGTGGGTGGGTGGATGCTGGGTTGGTGGGCTCAGCTAATGTGCAAAGCAAACTCGCACCAGAACGCACGCGTCTGCTAATACACACGCACACGTTCACAAAAAGGCGCACGCACGCAACTCACGCATACGCAAAGACAAAGGTTCCCCGTGTAGCTCTACGAAAGATCTCGGTGCAAGTGCACCTATGAAAGCGGGCGCGGCACGCGAGGGGGCGGGTGGCTCGCACCACGCCCGCCAGGTTGCCGAACTCGTAGCGCAGTGTGCTAACCACTGCGCCACCAATCCCCACACTCAAAGGTCGCCCGTTAAACCTCAACAGGCTGTGGGTCAGCACCACGCCCGGCCGCCTTTGTTTCCCTTGGTTTCCCGACTGTCGTTTACGCGTTGCACCAGATACTCATGTGAGGCCGAGTCGACCTAGGGGAAGGGGCTCAGGACTGGTTCACATTATCGTCACTGGTGTCCGTGAGCCGGAATCGAACTGGGGTCACAATTACAAAGAGACCCCCCGTGTAGCTTTAACAGACTGTAGGGGCAAGTGCTGTTAGCGAGCACCTATAAAGGCCGGCACGGCACACGAGGGGGTGGGTGGCCAGCACCACGCCCGGCCGCCTTTGTCTCCCCAGTGGCGATGTTTACACATCGCACCAGGTACTCGTTTTAGGCTGAGTCGACCTAGGGGAGGCCCGGGACCGGTTCAGATAATCGTCCCTGGGTCGCCAGGTTCGTAGCGCAGCGCGCTAACCGCTACACTACCGCTCCCCACATGCACACGCACAGACACACAGACACGCACGTGTCCATAGCCGCATTCAATCATCAAGCGGCGACCGTGGTCTGTAGGGGGATTTGAGTACCGCAGGGATGAGGTGAATGACGTCACCGAGGCGAGGGCAGATCAAACACTAGGCTGAGTGTCTCTTGGGCGAGAAGCCGCCTCTCATGTTCACACAACACCAAAGACAAAGACCACCCGTGTAGCCCATAAACAGAATGTCGGGGCAAGTGCTGTTTGCGAGCACCTATGAAAGCCGGCACGGCACACGAGGGGGTGGGTGGCCAGCACCACCCCACCGCATCACGACATCACGACCCGCACACACGCCACTATCTTTGAGGTTGAATCGACATAGGGTTACTGGGTTCGTGGGGCAGCGCGCTCACCGCTACACCACTGCTCCCCGAAAAACACACCACGACCCGCACTCACTAACAACACACCACAACCGCGCACACACAAAGACAAACACCCCCCGTATAGCCTTAACAGACTTTGTCTACCTAGTGGCGATGTTGACACATGGCACCAGGTATTCATTTGCGATTGAATCGACCTAGGGGAGGCCCAGAACCGGTTAAGATAATTGTCACTGGTGTTGGCCGTGAGCGGGAATCGAACCCTGGTCGCCGAGATTCGTAGCGCAGCGTAGCGCTAACCGCTACACTACCGCTCGCCATACACAGACAAAGAGAATGACCCGCGCTCACACGCAAACACAGCACACGACGCAACAACACACACGCCACGACAGATATACACACACACACACCACACATTCAAACACAATGACCCACACACAAACAAACACACCACTGAGACACACACAGCACGAGCAGCGCTCGCACACACCGTGACAAGACACGAACTGGCGTTTCGCCTGGACACGTGCAGACACACAGGCCCAAGTTCACTGTGTGCATCAAAGGACGATGTTTGATTGAGAGTGCCGAGTGACGTGTTGTAGCCCATCTAACCCAGTTGAGTGGAGTGTCGAAACAAAGCAGATGGCTCCACGTGGTCAGAACCCTCCCGAGGAGGAGTCTTGAGACTCAGCCATGGTCAATACACCCATTGTTTAAGCCCTCAGGCCACTACATGCGCTGTCATGGGGATTATTTTACTAAACTGTATATTTTTTTATTTTACCAGGTAAAGCCCGCAAATAATAGCTCAGCGAAGTGGCTCGTCACGTGGCAATCTGCATCAGCCAAATACTCTAAATGCATGTTTCTAAATCTGGAGGGTAAAACCGGAGAAAATTTCACGCGACCACGGAGAGAACATGGAGAGAACATGAAAACTCCAAATATGCAAGACGTCAGGGTCGGGATCAAACTCACGACCTCGTGTTTACCAGGCGAGGTAGTTCACTTCTCGGCACCGTGGCGCCCATACTTCAGTCACCCCGTCGGTCAGTGCGGGTTGGCGAAGTCGGTGCGCACAGATGCAAGGGCATAGAAGTAAAGCAATCGATGTTTCTGCACTGCCCTCTGCCGCCCGCCACGTCACCCCCCCACCCCCACCCCTATGGTAACCTGTTCGTGCGTGGTGGTCACCTATCAAGGCACTATCCAGCCTCAATCCTACCAAGGCAGAGCCGTCCCTAGGGTACGGCGAAACAAGGCGATCGCCCAGGGCCCCGCGCTTTGGGGGGCCACGCTTGTCGACGTCACAGTGTCTGATGTAATACTTCCGATGTAGTTTGAAGGCGTCGGTGGGGCGTGGGGGGGGGGGCGCTCCCCCCCCCCCTCTCCCCCGAGGCACGGCCCTGCCGCTTAGGCCTCGAGATCGGGGAGACCTCCCCGTGATTTGGTCATGACACATGCAGACCAATGTAATCTATTCAGGCGGAACACATTTTCGTGACATCGTAATTACTGATTTAAAGCTTTCGTGACTGCAGGGATTCATTTTGTTGGTTCTTTCTACGTGACCAAGAATATCGTAATTACTGTAACTGGTTAATTAAAAATGTAAACATTTTACAGCGTATTCTCTGAGTTATAAGACGCGCGTTATTTGCCTATGTGGAAGCAATGGTCTTATTATCGGATTCGTATACAGTACCTTTATTCACGCAGGAGACAAGTGCTGATGCATGTCTTGTTTTCCGGAGCGTCTTCTAATCCGGAGAATACGGTAAATGCAATCATTACACATTTTTGGCAACGTTCCTTATTTTAGCAAAGTCTTCTTTAAGGACACGCATCTTCCGACTTTACATCACATTTGAATGTAGGCCTATTTTGCATTTTGGCAAATATAAAACCGGTCTATTTGTGTTATAAACATTCACACGAGGTACCGCACCTCCGATAAGCACGGTTGGCTATGTACGATGCAAAGGAAGTTCAACATACGTCGGAGATATCATTTGCATGCATAAAAACAAAACAATGTCCTCAAGTCCGTGGGAGTTCATCCAGACAACCGCATCATAATTTGCAGATATATGTATCAGGCAGTTTCACGCAACGAACGCACCGTACCTGTGGCATGGCTCACCCATGCATATTCTATCATTCATGTACAATTCAAGACCAAATTAAATAAACATTATTTCGCGATTGTCGCAGCGCCAGCCACGGGACTGAATGCGTCCGAGAGGATTTGCGCGACGATGAGATGGAGCGACGAAATTAATTCGTACGCGGGCGAGAGTGGAATTGTTGCGACGGGGATCGTGGGTAGCGACGGAAGCTTGGGGAGGAGAGTCTTCATCCAGCGGTGGATTGACCATGGCCGATGGCGATTACTGTTTCATTTCAGAGAGCTTATCAATAATTTAAACGAAGTTGAGCACAGACAATCGTCGAGCACAGTTTAGCTTTTCAATGTTTGTGCATTCCCGTTTGCTAAGTATATTGTCTCTGCCGCATTGTTTGTTATTGAACGTGGTCTCCGAACACTTGCTGAGCAATTATCTCAAATGCCCCCTTTTGTTCTCACCCCTGGATATGCACTTCATGGGAAATGCGGTAGACACTATATATGTAAATTACGACGACGATGATGATGATGAAACCAACACGTGAAGATTCTAAATGTTCTACCATGGTCAAAGTTTAACTATATCGCCAATAAAGATTGGCACAGCATTTTAAATCAAAATGTAATTGTGATTTTGAAGACGATAAGTTAATTGGATGAGAAGTGTATGACATTATTTCCCAGTCTATTCAAGCCACGCAGAAATCTACCACGATCACCTCCCTGCATGTCCGCAGTCACTCCCCCCCCCCTCTTCTAGCTCATTTGACACTGATCAAAAGGTGCAGCCCTGCAATTCTTTGCTCACGCCACTGCTGGCAGAAGAGCTGGAGCTCAGCTCCAGAGAGGCCCTCGAGACGGTCTTTGTGGCCTACTCTTCCACGTTGGGAAGACGTTTTGGAAGGACAGAGACACAGTGATAAAGGAACAGCGTGACACACACACAAAGAGATAAAAAGACAGGCTAAGAGATAAAGACAGACGCAGAGAAACAAACACACAAAGCTACATGGAGAAAAGCTGGCAGAGAGAATTGATAAAGTCGATCATTCTCACTGGATTTGAAGCCTTCGTGACTGCAGGAATTACTCTTTGGTTCTATCGGTAAAGTTACATGGAAAGAAAAGAAAATAAATAATAGAATATGACGTTTCGATTGCAACACAAGCAGCCGTTATCAGGTGTGAATTAATGCAAGCTCGGAGAGAGACACATATACAGACGTATTTGACTTTTAAACAACTATTATTGCCGCCAGCAGCAACAGCACTGGAGTGAAATCCGATATGAAATACACAAAGTCACCAGCAACACAAATAAAACAAACGCTACAAATCCACGCGCTGTGACACGTATACAGAGAGAGACAACACAGACACGAAGAGAGACGCATACACAGAGAGATTGTGTGACTCTCTCTGTGTATGTGTCTCTCTATGTGGCTCTCCCCCATGTGTGTCTCTCTATCTGTGTGTCTCTCTCTCTCTATCTGTGTGTCTCTCTCTGTGTATGCGTCTCTCTATGTGTCTCTCCCCCATGTGTGTCTCTCTATCTGTGTGTCTCTCTCTCTCTATCTGTGTGTCTCTCTCTGTGTATGTGTCTCTCTATGTGTTTCTCCCCCATGTGTGTCCCTCTATCTGTGTGTCTCTCTCTCTCTATCTGTGTGTCTCTCTCTGTGTATGCGTCTCTCTCCGTGTCTCTGTTGTCTCTCTCTCTCGCTCTCTGTATGTGTCTCTCTCTCTATTTGTGTGTCTCTCTCTGTGTGTGTGTCTCTCT